TCCTTGTGCGCTGAAAGGCTATAACCATAATTCACTTCCAGTTATTTTGTGGTCAAATAAGAAAGTACAGATGACCCAAATGAAATTCAATGACATTAATTAAAATTTTAACACGTAGCATCATGTAAAAGTATTATATAAACTTATTTTTTCTAGCCTTAAAATGGCTTGATAAGATAAAATTCATCATTATTATTTGAATCAGTTTTAAAATCATAAAAATCACTTTTAGAAAAACCACTTTTTAAAGTCAGTCAATAAGCAAAATAAAAAAATTAAAATTATATTGAAAAAATTGAAAACTAAAAAGTTTAATTTTTTTTCATCATTTTAGGTTACATTAAGGCATACTTTAGCTAATTTGTCTTTTAGGTCAAATTTCAATATTAATTAATTAAAATTATCTTCAATGTTTTGTCTAAAATTTAAGCTTAAAAAAATTTATTTCTCAAGTTTAGTTATAAATTCACTTTTGCCTATAATTCAAAATTTTCAACATTTATTGATAATTTGATAATCTTCCATTCCATTATTCTTCCATTTTCAATTATTTTTATATTGTGACTAAATGATAACTTCAGATAAACTTTTTGACTGTAATTTGGTTAATTAATATATTACAGATAATGAAATTTGGACTAAAGTTCTAGCTGAAAAGTTAATCCAGCATTATCATTTAGCTATAATAATTCAGGCTTGGTTGTCTATATGTATTTTACATTGTAAAATTTTCCTTCTGAATAAAAATACTTAACGTTCTCTTATGAAGATACGTTTCAATTATTTATTCCCATTAGCAAACACCATAGTAATAAATACTAATGGACAAAAAATATCTATAATGTTCCAACAAGAAAAGAATTTTAGTTAATTGATCTACGATGTTAGTCAGTTGCTATTGAAAACTTCATTACAAATCTCAGTGACAATGACAACAAAATAATAATTATGCTCTCTCTTCTCTTCTTGGTGCCATATCAGATTCCTGACGTCGGCGACACCTGGCGTAGGTGTCGCCGCCAGGTGACCTACGCCAGGTGTCGCCGACGAATTATGCTATAATCCTCAATTTTATACTATTCCAAGTATTCTTAGCTTTAAAAAATAATAACTGTAAATAAAGTAATAAATACTTTTAGCTGGTTGGAAGAAATATTTAGCTGATGGATCAACCAGCTAAAACAGACTTGAGAATATTGTGTATTTTTTTTAAAAAAGTATATCTGTATCTGTTGTTTGTCTTCTACAGGAATTAAATAAGATGTATCTGTAAGACTCAGGATTAACAGGGGGTATCTTTTTACAAAAAATCTAATAGTATGATTTAAAATTGTCAAAGTGGTGCTCCTGGCAGACAAAATTCAAGTTAATACTTATTTTGCTTAACAAACAATATAACAAAGTTTGCAAACATCTTTTCCCTTCTAATAACCACTAATTTTTGCAAGATAGAAAATATTGTATATCATATATCCTTCTCATAACATCTGAGATCCCCTTTTGATTTAAAAACATAAAATTTCCTGTTTAGCTGAGTTGTGCTGTATTAATTAATATGTTTCAAGGACAAACATTAACTGTTGCTATGTTGTTCTGTCAAC